AGCCTAACTGGTATGTTTTCCTTGCTGATACTTTGCGACCATCATTCAATTTGATATTCCCTAAGCTTCATGTCTTATAGTAGCAACCTTAAGTGTGAGTTTTTGTAACATGAGGGCCGGCTTGTTGGGGTATCTGTCCCGCCCAGTACCCCACAGCTGGCAAGCCACAAAGAAAATCACACACTTATAAACTATAAGAAATTTTATGATTATAAATGTCTTATAAGACATTATAAATGTCTTATAAGACAGTTTATGATTATAAACTGATTGGCCCTTAGCTCTGGCTACTTATTAGCTCTTATAACATATATTACCCCATTATCCTTATCTATGTTAGCCACATGGCTCAGTACCTTTTTCAGCTGGGCAGGTTGCATGCTGCCTCTTCGGTGGTCTGCACAGGAATGGCAGAGGAAGCTTTCTGCTTCCCAGAATTCTCCTGTTCTCATTGCATCACCTCTACTTCCTGTCTGGTTTTCCCGCCTATACTTCCTGCCTGACCAATCAGCGTTTTATTAAAATACATGATTGACAGAATACAGACAATTCTCCCACACCAAGTTTTGTACTTGGCTATCAAAGCTCCACAGAGTTCCAGGTTCTAAACCAATTTTCTAGTTTTGGGGGAGTTTTCACACCAGCTTGGTTCTGTATGTGGTCAGACCCTTCTCTCCAATAGCAGAGATCAGCTATTCTACATGCTGCTGCCACCTGGTCTGTATGCTCACATGGTGCCTCCTCGGTGTATGCTAACATTGTTTCCCATGCTGTAACCTCCTTTAACTCCTGCACACTGCTTCAGTTCTTTTCTGTAAATCATCACAAGAAATGTCACCATGTTCATTATTTAACTAGGTGTACTTGTTTGAATGAGAATGTCCCTATAGAGGTTTTAACTCTTGGTCACCAGTTGGTGGCACTGCTTGAGAGATTTAGGAGGTGGCAGCCTTCACTGGGATCCAGCTTTGAGAGCTTGAGGCCTCAACCTACTTGTCATCCATTGTTTCTGGTTTGTGCTTTCAGTCTAAGGAGTGAACTCTTGGTTTGCTATTCCTGCCACCATGCCTGCTGCAGCCTGTCATTATAGAACCCCTAGAACTGTTAGCTAAAATGAACTCTTCTGTAAGGTGCTTCAGTCATGGCAGCTTATCACAGCAACAGAAGAGTGAGTGATATACCAGGTAGTCATGAGTTTGGGGGACTGGTAGGCTTTCCCCTTTCTGCCACCATCAGTTTTAGGGTGGGTAATATTTATGATACATTCCTTTCTCTTTCTTTTTGCTGCTTTCCCATTTTCATGATACTTGTGTATTTAGGAAGAAATAATGTCATCATGAGGTAAGGTATCAATTGCCATATTTTATTGTGAGAATTTGTTATTTAAAATAGAAATATCAGGCTGAGAAGTTGGCTCAGTCATATAAGTAGATGTCTTGCAAATACAACAATCTGAGTTTGAGTCTCAGAACTCAACGTTAATAAGCATAACAATAATACTGATAACAAAAAACAGGTGTGGCAGTACATCTTGTATTCCCAGCACTGGGGAGGTTGGAGATTTAGGTCCCTAGAGCTCACTAGTCACCCAAGCTAGCTTACTTGATGAGTTCTGGGCCAGTGAGAGATCCTGTCTCAAAGAAAAAAAGGGGAGGGGCATCTCTAGTCTCTTTTTACACACACACACAAGAGAAACAGCTGCAAGAACTTTATTATGCACCAAGTAGTCTACAGTTCAGTTGAGATACAAACTAAAACATGTAGTTGCTTAGCGTGTGACCTAGTAGAGCTTGTAAACACCAAGAATTGTTCAAATGAAAAGTACTACACAGGAAGAGGCTATTGCAGTGTGGACTGGCCACTGGAAAAGATGGCACGGTATCTGGACTCCTCTTTCTCAGGCTGCTGCTGAGCACACATCTGCACGGGACTATAGCAGCAGAAACCAGAGACCAGGCTGTCTCACATTTGGCAGGTGAGTCAGAGCTTTGAATATTACACACTATAATAAATATTGTTGTTTTCTTTTGTTGAGACAGAATCTTGCTATTTAACCCAGGCAGGCCAACCTTAGCCTCCCAAGTGCCAGGATTACAGGTGTGAACCACTATGCCTAGCTGGAATGTTACTGGTTTTTGTTTTTTTTTGAGACACAGTCTCACTTTGTAGCCTTGGCTAGCCTGGAACTCACTATGTACACCAGGCTGGCCTTAAACTCAGAGGTCTATCTGCCTCTGCCTCCCAGTGCTGGGTTGAAAGGCGTGTGCAACCATACCCAACTCTGTCGCCATTCTTTAGAAGAGCATCAGAGAAGGGCCTACGAGATGGCTCAGCGGCTAAGGTGCTTTGTTGTGTAAGCTTGTCCAGAAACTACATAAAGGATTAGAACCAACTCTGTCACAAAGTTGTCCTTTAACCACATGTGCCGTGACACATATACACCTCCTGCTCACATCATACACAGAATAATAATAAATAAAAAAGAAAAGCATCATTGAAGACAACAGGAACATGGCAGGCAGTATTGCCTGAGTGGGTGAAAGATAAGGGTGTGGCCTTGACAATCACCCAAGAAACATAAGAGAACAAAAAGTCCGGTCTTACAGACTGAAATGTGTAAAAGGCACTTGTTTAAATATAGAATTTACATATTTTCCTTTTAATATGTATATCAAGGTAACTCAACCATCTCAGAATAGTAGGACTAAGTCTTAAACTTATCTGTTAGAAATACAAAAAGCCCCCACTCCTCCTGGGAAGTGACTGTTCTGTAGCCTCCTGCACCCAGAGTTCAGATGTAGACCTGGGCTTGGGGTTAGGATTAAAACTTTCTATGGAGATAATGACACATGCCAAAGGTTTGTCCCTAGGTCTTCCCGGAGCAGTAAACTTGGAATACTTAAGGGTATCACTCTAACACTGTTGTCCCCAGAAATACACTGTCAGCTCCAAGTCAGAACCAGGGGCAAATATCTAGGCTTACAAGCATCACAGGCATCAGTCAGAAGGCTTTGGCAGTGTTAGCAGTTTTGGGTTTGGTCACTTTTTATTTCCACAAAAGAGTGCCCTTCTTTGGTCAAAACTGCCCGGGATGCTGGTAGCTGCTCCAACCCAGCCCTGTGTTGGAGACGGGGCACTTTCCTTGCACGCCCTTTAGACAATCCTAAATGAGATGTGAACAATTACCAAAATGAGAAATCACTACTGGGGTTTTGGTGCCTCATTAGACACAAATACCACAATTTCTTTCTGAATATGAACTAATCAAATTAACAGAGATAGTTTTACATGATCCCTGTTACTATCCAGTCATGCAGTTAGAGTTCATACAGCATACACTTCCATCAAATATGTGTTCTTATTTAAATAACAAAATACACTCATACACTTTCTAACATATTGGTGATAGCACCCATCGTCAGCTCCTGGGCTGTCCATCTGGAGTCAGCTCGTACCTGTAAAGACAGTCAGGTTTGGACTTGTGTTAGTAATGAGAATGTGGGGCTGCAACAAGACAAGCAGCATGCACGGTTTCCATGGAGATGGCAGTACCCAACTGTCTGGGAGTTGCTGGCCAGTTTCAGAGGACTGCAGGCAGACCTATAGTCCATAATACCTGAGTAAAGGGTTACTCTGTCTCCTTTTGTTAGAAACCAAAGCACTGAAATAATACTGAAAGGAAAAGAACTCTAGAGACCAGGGCAGCTGCCGGAGATAGTGTCCTCCATAGTTACCAGGGATAAAGAGAAGGCACACTTACCACTGTGAAAACCCCTTAATCAAATCTTCTTTTGATAAGTCAATCAGTACCTACAATCACAAATATTAGCACCGTTTTAAATGGGAACACTCTGGAGTAAACTGGGCTGAGTGTGAAGGGTCTCAGTTTTCGGCAGGGGATTTTTTTTTTTATAAAAAATATGTATCCTTTGAGAATTTTATACATGTATGCAATTAAATACAATTAAATACCCACACAAGCCTCATTTCCCTTCTTCAGCTCCCACTAGAGCATTGCCATATGCCCACATCCCAGCATCATGTTGTTTTTTTTTTTAATAGCCCACTAAATCCAGTTAGTGCTGTTCATATGTGTATATGTGCATAGTATGGACCAAAGGCAACCTACCAGCAGCCATGTCTGAAAAGAAGATTGAGTCCCCCTCCTCCAGCAGCTATTGACTACCAATAGCTCCTCAGCTATGGGTGGGACTCTCTGAACCCCCTCCCCCATCCACCCATCAGGGTATTGCCCTTCATCTTGGAGCCTTTCCAGAAAGAATGCAAACACCAGCATCGTGTTCGAGAGATAACTATTTCCACCCTGCACTCGGGAGGCAGAGGCAGAATGAGGCCAGCCAGGGCTACAGAGTGAGACGCTGCATCAAAAACAAAACAAAAGCTGTTCCTGTTTGGAACAAGAATTTGAGATACTTATATCCTCAAGAATTACAGATATTTTAACTTTCAAGTTTATGGCTGTTATAAAGAAGAAAACTTCCCCATAAAAATGAGCATAAAACCATCTGCTTTAAAGGCAGAAAATACTGCCAGTTTTATAGAAGTGGGTGTTACAGAGACTGAGTGCAGAAGGTGGTTATTAAAATATAACTACAGTACTGGACAAACAGAGGAGTATTCTTGACACTCCTGTGATTATATTTCCTCTTATTTTAAGTAAAATTCTTTTAACACAGAAACCTTGATCTAATGCAATCCAAGTTTTATTTAATGATTTATTTATAAAAATAGGTAATACCAGAGTAGATGCCACATACTTACAAAAAACTGAATTTGGATATTCTCAAGGTTGCTAAATAATGTTTATACACTAGTTTATATTTCTATGTTAGGTCTGAAACATATGTGGTGTAGGAGGTCCTTCTGTATTTGTGTTGCTTTCATTGGTTATTAAAGAAACTGCCTTGGCCTAGTTGATAGGGCAGATCTCACGTAGGCGGGGAAGACAACAGAATTCTGGGAAGAAGGGCAGAGTGGCAGACGCCATGGTTCTCCTGCCCAAGACGGACGCTGGTTAGACTCATGCGGGTAAGTCACAGTCAAGTGGCGATACACATTAATGAAAATGGGTTAGATCAGGATGTGAGAGTTGGCCAAGAAGGATAGATATAATGGGTCAGGCAGTGATTTAATTAATACAATTTCTGTGTGGTTATTTCGGGGGTTAAACAGGCCAGGCAGTGGGACACGGCCTGCGTCCTCCTACTACATATATGAAAACAAAAAGTCCTTTTAAGGAGGCTGTCCCTCCTTACCTTCAGCTCTCATAAAATTGGAATGAGTCCATCGGGTGCTAGGATACAAGGAAGGAAATGACAGCTACTTACTCTTCCCAGCTCCTTTCTTCTGTGTGAGCCAAGAGGCCTACTGTTTTTCACTGCAACATCCAGTGACCTCTTCTGTACTTCTTCCATAGGAACAAAAAATTCAAATCTTTAAAAGTCAAAACATTCAAAGTGAGATTTACACGTAGTCACTTTTGTGGAAAACAGTTTCTTTCCCTTCCCACTAAAACAAGAGCTGTCAACTTTCAGCAGTTCACAGCATCAGCACTGGCTTCTAGGCTCCCAGGTGACATGTCATCTAAATCCATGAAGTGTCAAGAGACTGCTTGTGATGATCCTCAGAGAGCTGCTGTTTGGGATGTGCTGTGTCCTGACTCTATACTGACTGCTGTTTCACGGCTCTCACCTGCACCCACGCAGAGGACATCTCAGCCTTTCTGTTAGCAGAGGGGCAGGGTGCTCATGAGGTAGGCTCGCTGGAGCTGCATGGAAAATAACTGTTCTTCAGAGGACTGTGTACCAGGCTTGTCAGAGAGGCACCTGGACCCTGACTTCTGGGTTTCTTTAGGGTGGGGTTTGTTCAGTCTGCCTTCAGATAACCCTGGCTTTCATCCTGTTGTAATTTTTAGAGAGAATGACTAGCAGATTGTCTTGATAGTCAGATGCTCCCTCCTGTGTTCTTCTGTAGCCATTTTAACATCTTTGTGTAATTGTGTCAGAGTTCCCCTTCAAGGCAGTGCCCACTTGTGTGGCTATGGATGGTGTGGCTGGCAGAGTATTCAGTGACTATTGGGTGAACATTCTTGCTGAGGACAGATAGAGACTAAAGACAACTTGGTTTCAGCCTTTTAGAGTAGTTATGATTGATTAAAATAAGAGGAAAAGTCATGTTCCCAACCTGGCTAGAAATGTCTTGTCTGAGGACTGCAAAGCAGAGGATATCAAGAATACAGTGGCTTGGTGGTTAAGAGCACTTGCTGCTTGTTCAGTTTGAAAGAAAATAGCCCCCAAAGGGAGTGGCACTATTAGGAGGTGTGACTTAGTTGGAGGAAGTGTGTCACTGTGGGGGTGGGCTTTGAGGTCTCCTATGGTCACACTACACCCAGAGAGATAGACCACTTCCTGTAGCCTATGAATCAAAATGTAGGACTCTCAGCTCATTCTCCAGCACCATGTCGCACCATGATGATAATGAACTAAAAACCTCTGAAAATGTAAGCCACCCTTGAATGTTTTCCTTTATAAGAGTTCCGTGGTCATGATGTCTCTTCACAGCAATAGAAACCCTAATACACTACTCTCACATAGGATTGAAGCTCAATTCCCTACACCCACACCAGGTACCTCAAGACCATCTTGTAACTGCAGCTGCAGAGGATCCAGACCCTCTTCTGGACTCTGCAGGTACTATTACAGACATGGAATACACATAAATTAAAAAAAGTAAGGACTTGCTACCACTGGACTATATCATCAAAAGCAAGAAATGTGCTAAAAGCTTGCCTCAGTTTTGTCTTCACAGATGTAGATGAAGAGAAAGAATCTCTTTTACCTGCCAACCTTGTTATGTTGCAGGAGGGAAGACAGACCAGAGAGCTGAGAGTATGCGCTATTCCGCCACCAGGAAAATTTTATCCTCTTAAAAACAGCACACGTAAGCAGCCTTGATCACATTTTTGGATAAACTGCCACAGCAGCCCCTTTTCCCACTAAAAAGTATATAGGGGCTTCATGAGGTCAGACCACATTGTCCTGTCCAACTCAGTCCCCAGGCTCCCCCACCCCCGTATCTGGCAAGCTCCAGCATACTGCTAGTGTTTGGTACTCAGTACTATGAAAATAGATGAGGTTTGCTAAGCCCTGCCCTACTCACGTCTCATCAAATAGTGGCTCCAGGGTCTTGCGCTTTACTGAGGTCTTCTTGCGACTTGTCCATCGCCTTTCAGGCAATAGGTAGATGCGAACATAGGGATCAGCTCCACTGCTGGTACATGGTGTCAGGTTTCTGATGGACAGAGAAAAGGGGTTCCTAAGTACTCATTTGGGAGAAGGCTGTACCAGCCACTGGGGATTAGATGGACTGGAGGATTAAAATTCTCCGTACTCAAAAGACAAAAGCCCACAGAATTAAAGGATGAGCTATCAGCTGTGGTTTTGTTTTGAACACACACATTTTTGTGCTGTTTGGGTAGAGTCAAGAATTTTGTACTCAAGGAATTTGGGGGTTCCTCCTTAGGAAGACCTACTTGCTATTGGCCACCCCAAGACAGCAATCTGAGCAGAGTCCTTGGCTCTTGAGCCCATGCACACCAACAAAGAATGGTCACTCAACATGCCCCTTTGAGGATTTTTGCCACCGATGGCTTGTAGGTTCTCAAATATCATTTAGGAGTACATGGCTCCTGCCGTCACCCTAAGCAGCCCTGTCATATGGTCGCCTGATATTTCCAAAAACCTCCCTGTCCCAGGATCTCTTTACCTGCACCCGTTGACTAGCACCCTGAGACAGTGTCGAAGACACACATAGCGTACTGTGAGCTGAATCTCACCCAGCCGTCGCTGCCTAGGATCCCCATCTCTGTGGGAAAAAAGGGGGGCTGTCACAGTAAGAACTATTCCTCTCCCTTCACCTGAAGATAGAGAAAGATGCCCGATGTGAGGAACACAGACTCATCTGGGTCAATAATTCCCTTCTAGGTTCCATTCAGCATTCAGTGTAATTATCCTACTTCTTAGTAGAAAGCATAAATAAACCCTGGAATGGATTGGTCCTTATATCCTGATTGCTTGTAGGGCTTGAAGGAATTGGGATTTTATAATGGTCTCTTCTGTCTTATAGGGTTATAATGAAGAATGAATTAAATCAGATAATACGCTAAGCCCATAGGAAGCACTTAATACATGGAATCACTTTTATAAGTCCACATTCTAAACTTTTCATGTATTCCCACAATACTCAGAATTCAGAAAATGTTTCTATGGAAGGGACCTGAACAACTGAAGGCATCATGTAGCCAGAGTTGTATACCAACAACAGAGTTCGCCCCCTTGTCCTGTGTCCTTCCTATTAGTTCAAGCTGCCTCTTGTAAAGACATGTGAGAAACCTGGACTTGGACAGGCCTGTAATTTCCTATTTATTCTTCAATCCAAGGACCTACTTTTCACTCAAGTTATATTAGAAAAGATCAAGCAGAGAGATGCATACTCAATGTTGAGGCTGACATCTGTCATGTCAAAGCAGGAAGAGGCCAGGGAGTTGAGTGAGGACATGCTGGGAGCCAGCCTTGTGGGTGGCCATGCGAATGGGAAGGCAGGGCGGCTCATGGGTCTGGGTGACTTGATGGGCCCTGGAGAGTGGGGGCCTGGGACAGTCAGGAAGATGGTAGCTGGGTTCCTCTTCTTCCCCATGGACTCACAGAGCCCTTTGGCACTGTCCTTGCCTTTGGACTCCAGGCCTGTCTCTGGGGGCTCAGGCTCTGTGGCTGTGGTGACAGCTGTGGTGGTATCAGTGCTCTTGGATGCTCCCTTGATGTCAGAGGCAAGGTCCGAGGCACGTGTCACATCTGCAGGGCCTTCTCCCTGGGATGGGGCTTTCTGAGCCTGGTTGGTGGCTACCTTCTTGATGAACAGAGGGCCTTTCTTTACAGCATCAGGTCCAGTATATGGGCTCCCCAGTTCTCGTTCCTCCACACATAAGAACTAGAAGCATATGACAGGGTTGTTCGTAGGTGGGGCTGCCACCCTCCTCCTTCCCCTTCCTCCTCAGTTGTCAATCAACAAGCCCTTTCCTAGGGAATTCTGTTTCCAAAAATAAATGTGGGACTGAAACATCTTCATTTAAAAAGTAATCTAGAATAAAAATTCTACTGAGCAGCAAAGATCGATTAACAAGAGCTATCTCAGCTTGTATTCCAGTTAGAGGGACGGTCTTCCTCAAGCATACCAGCTTGTATTCTAGTTAAGGGAAAGTCTTCCTCAAGCATACTATCTTATAGAACTATCAAGAGTTTCTAGTTCATATTCAGATTTCCTATGGGTTTTTAAACCTATTAAGTTAACATAACAATGGATCTAGGTTTGTAATGCCCTGTGGTATTCTGCCAGATACAAAGCTAAACCTCCCTACAGACAGCAGCCTTTGATTCAGGCCATCAAGGACCACCGACCACACTCATGACAGCCACAGAACAGTTACACTGAAAACACAGATGAGATAAACAGCAAAATTCATTGCCAAGATCCTCTTGTGGATCATACTATTAAGACTGGGTATTGTGGTTGCAGACAATGTGTCTCCCTCAAACCTTTTTATGATACCACGTTACCCATCTAACATGGAAAAAAAAATTAACTCCCAGAATCTTCAGACAACAGAATTAACAGATTACAATCTAAACATTTTAAATGACTCAGGATGGATTGGGAATGCAGACAATAAAAAAAAAGACTATGTGATTTGGAAGAGATGAAATTAAAGATGAAAAAAATTACTATCGAAATACAAACCATACTGAAAAAGTAGTAAGCCAGACACAGTAAAATGACATGGTGATAAGGAGGATGGTTATGAGGAAATTAGCTGGGAATAGAAGATAAGGTCGAGGCATGGATCAAGGATGGAAGTTCTAGAAGGAAGGGTTAAATGAATGGAGGAGGGAGTGTTTGAAGCAACAAAGAGATGGTATTATGACAATATCTCTTGGTCCCAAAGAGACTGAACTTTTGGCAAACCTCACAGCAAAGTTAATAATACCCTTAAGAGCATTTAAGACTGTATTTAAACCGCTATTCTACTGTGTACTCAGCCTGTTGAAGTTTTCATCCCATAATGCAACATCAAGGAAGGAACTTTCTGAGGTTATCTTCAATGCGTTAACCCAATGAGTAGATGAAGACACAAAATCTGTCCTGACTTCTGCATTCAACAGATAACTCACTCATTGCTGAGCCCTGTTCCAGCTCAGCCCCACCCACTGAGAAAGGAGGTATTTACCCGAAGCACCAGCCTCATGGAGATGAGGCTGTCCAGGCCTGAGCGATCCAGCTGGAAGCGCTGCTCAAGGGTGAGGTTGGCACAGGGGAGGATCTGGCACAGCGGAAACTCCAACACTCCCAGAGCACACTCCAGGTCATCATCCAGCACCTGGGCAGTGGACCAGTCACAAAACCAGGGGAGAGCTAAGCCCACTATGCTACCATTGCATCTGGTACTGGGGAGTCTGTGCTTATTTCAGGAAGTATACACTATGGAGCAATTAACATCTGGTGCTGTTCAGCAGGTGGGATTGGCAATAGGCCAGACCTTGTACCTGCCTGGAGTCTAGTGAAGGGAGTGACTCAGAGTAGAGGTGATTATAGTCTGGATGAGGCCAGTCTGGCATGCACTCAGGGCCAGCAGGGCTTTAATACGGCTGTATGGTAGGGCATTTAGGCTCAGTTCAGGGCTCCAAAAACATCCCACCCAGCTCCAGCACTTATAGGCCATGAGTTCTTGGGCAGATGGTTGCTTTAGCCTCTATTTGCTCCTGTAAAAAGGAGGTCACTCTTCTGCAGATCTTTTGTAAAGTCTAGACTCTAGCACAGAACCCTCAGACTGCATAACCGTAGTGATCATCGTAAGGAGAACTAAGGAGATTAACTGGTTGCCTTCCTACAGTCTCCTCCGTGGTGACCTTGGGCACCGACCTCAAGGGGCTGAAGGCTTGTGGGGCCTCATACCTTCCCAACATACTTGGGGGCTGACTACTGGTAGAACTGCCCAAGGGACACAGAAAACCCTCACCTGCCCTTGGCCTAAAACATTCTCAACTGTCCCCAGAGCCCCGCTTCAAGCAAACCTCCAGGCAGAGCTGCTCAGCTGCCACACTGTGCACGAAGAAGGAGAACACCTGGCTCCACACAGGATCCTTGCTGTGGGGACAGGTCTGAGGACAGAAATGAGACCAGCTGAGTGCCAGGTTGGACATACTCTGCTCAGTGTGACGACCCACTGCCACGGGGAGCCAGGGGACAGTCAGTGTGGCAGAAAAGGCATGACTTCAGACCATGCCCCAGGGTAAACCCTAATCCTGCTGCCCTATTTTTGGCGGCATCATCACTTAGCTTTAGATTGTGAATGCTAAAGCCACATAGGGAGGGGATTCCGAAGGTTTTCTAGGCATTCAGTGTGAGAGTTTCCTTCACCCTGCCTCTCCTTAAAAGGGGGCGGGAGCATCATTTCCTTATCTCAGGCCTACAAATGAATTGTCTTACCTTACTTGTAAAGGTCTTCTTGCCTACGGATAGCTTGACATATGAAGAAGGGTCTCTGCTGGCCTTATTCTGTAAGGGGAAACCCACAATGTTGAAAGCAATGTTTTCAGGGCGGGGCCCAAAACATCTTACCTTTCCCGATGCTCACCCCTCCCCCAGGTATGCCAGTGGGTTGTAGGGCAGCTGTGGCTCCTGCTGGGGAAAATCTGCACTATGGCATGAGCACTGTGCAGAACTACCTCTGGGGAGAAGCCCCGAGTGCAGACCAGAACTAGGACAGACATGTCCAGACCCCCCACCTTCTGGGTCCTTTTTATAAAATGGCAACCACTCTTGCCCAAAACAAGAACACCTGGAATACATCACTAGGGGACTCAAGTCTAGTGCCTTGCACAGGAGACTCAGTGAGCCCATGCTATGTGACAGACAGGTCCTGGCTGCAGTCACTTCAGGGGAAAGGACTCAGGTTCTCAGTGATATTCACTTACTTTGGCAAACCTGGAGAGTTTTTTGGCTCGGTATTCACCATTCAGGTAGTCAAAAGGGTTTCTCTGCAGCATAAGAATTGGAGTTAAAACAACACATGGGCATCTGGCTGTGAGCTGCATAGGGCAGTTGGGTCCCCTGACTCACCGGCAGGTTGCAGGCATTTTCTAAGTAGACCACGAGGATGGCGGAGGAGTGGTCACCATGGTCCTGCAAACAGACACAGCCCTCACTGAATATTCCCAGAATCCGGGCAGAAGGACGCCAGCC